AAGAAAAAATCTAATTTCAAATCAAAAAGGACCAATTATATAACAAACAACAAATTAACAAATATTTGTTGGCTATTAATTTCTATGAACACTTGAAAATGTCACATTCATTCAGTCTGAGCAATATGTATTTTATTTGTACTTTATATAAAAATAAAACTCACTACTGTAACATTTCACATTTTGCAACAATGTTGTTTATCGGTTACCATGGAAAAAAAGGATATACAACTTCAGTAACATGTATATGAATTACCAATAATGTATGCTGCCAAATATCAAAACATTAAATGAAAATTTTTTTTTTAACTTTCCGGTCATAATAAAGACAATACGTGATAGTTACTGACATGACCTCTTAAGAATCCATATCCGAAATCAATGGACAAAAGAGACAAATGAATCATAAAGCTTAATAATTTTCAATGAACAAGTGTCGTACGCAATGACAGCGATATGACTATACTTTTGTATTACGTTCATATAATGTTATCAAATAACACTTAGTCTAACAATTCAATATGTAAGTATGGTGATGGGGCGCCTGGTCGATGGTCATCCCTTATGTTGTCTGAATTGATTTGGTTTTTTTTTTTTTTACTTCTTCCGATTATATATAACATTTATGACCTTCAAATATACGCAGTTTCATTCAAAGAGGATCAGCCTACTATTGAATAAATGAAGAAAAAAAAAATGAAACTGACGGAATTTTTGTTTCTTGCTTCGTTATTATTTGGGGAAAGTTCACATGCCCCTCCAGGTAAGTGTAATTTTAAGTTATAATAATTGATAAATTTTTAATAACAATATATAATTACATTTCATCACAAGGATATTAACATTAAGATTTCAAAGTGATGTTTTAGGTCTAAATAAGTGTTACATCAATGTTTTAACATCCTGTTATTGACAAGGTATATAATACTGTACAGGAATATTTAAATCAGGAAAAAAATATGCTTGATTTAACCCGTAATTTATTGGTTGTGTCTTAAATGTAATTATAAAGACACTTCAGAGCGTCATAACAACAAAAAATATCCAAATTTATGTTTATCTATCCGCTAACTTGCTCGTTAAAATTTTGACTACTTCACATTTCTTAGAAAAGAAAAGAGTATGAACTCTTAAATAAAGTTTATATCATTACTGAATATCATTATATACTCACAAGTTACTGTTATATGCATTTTGAACATGTTCCCTTAATGCAAACACTGATAGAGGAATTGTATTAGTATGAACGACTGGAAAAAACACAACGCAAGTTGTATCATCATTAATCGGTTGACTGATACGATGAATCTGTATCTTAACTGATGAGAGTTATGTTTGGGAGATATTAGACCTTAAGATACACTGTATCTTAACTCATGAAAGATATGTTTGGGAGGTATTAGACCTTAAGATACACCGTATCTTAACTCATGAGAGATATGTTTGAAAGGTATTAGGATTTCTAAGAAACACTGTATCTTAACTCATGAGAGATATGTTTGAGCAGTATGAGACCTTAAGATACACTGTATCTCAACTCATATGAGAGATGTGTTTGAGGGGAATTATACCTTTATTACACTGTATCTTAACTGATGAGAGATATGTTTGAGATATATTAGACCTTAAAATACACTTTGTCTTAAGATATGTTAGAGCGGTATTAGACCTTTAGATACACTGTATCTTAACTCATGAGATATATGTTTGAGAGGTATAAGCCTTTAAGATACACTGTGTCTTACCTCATGAGAGATATGTTTGAGAGAAATTAGACATTAAGATATACTGTATCTTAAATCATGAAAGATATGTTTGAATAGAAATTGATCTTTAGAAACACTGTATCTTAACTGATGATAGATGTGTTTGAGAGGTATTAGACCTTAAGATATTCTGTATCTTTACTCATGAGAGATATGTTTGGGAGGTTTTAGACCTTAAGATACACTGTATCTTAACTGATGAGAGATGTGTTTGAGAGGTATTAGGCGTTCTAAGAAACACTGTATCTTAACTCATGAGAGATATGTTTGATCAGTATTAGACCTTAAGATTCACTGTATCTCAACTCATATGAGAGATATGTTTGCGGGGAATTAGACCTTAAAATGCACTGTATCTAAACTGATGAGAGATGTTTTGAGAGGTATTAGACCTTAAGATACACTGTATCTTAACTGATGAGAGATATGTCTAAGCGTTATAAGACCTTAAAATACACTGTTTCTTAACTCATGAAAGATATGTTTGAGAGGAATTAGACCTAAAAATACACTGTATCTTAACCCATGAAAGATATATTTGAGCAGTATTAGACCTTAAGATACACTGTATCTTAACTCATGCGAGATATGTTTGAGAGGTATAAGCCTTAAAGATACACTGTGTTTTACCTCATGAGAGATATGTTTGAGAGAAATTAGATGAAAGATGTGTTTGAGAGATATTAGAACTTAAGCATGTTAAGATTCACTATATCTTAACTTAAGAAAGTTATGTTTGAGAGATACACTGTATTTTAACCCAGGAAAGATATCTTTGAGAGGTATTAGACCTTACGATACACTGTATCCTAACTTATGAGGGATATGCTTGAGAGGTATTAAACCTTACGATACACTGTATCTTAACTGATGAGAGATATATTTGAGAGGTATTAAACCATAAAATACATTGTATCTTTAACTTATGAGGGATATGCTTGAGAGGTATTAGACCTTAAGATAAACTGGATCTTAACTCATGAGAGATATGTTTGAGAGGAACTACCCTTTCGATACAAGAAACGATGTGTAATCTTTAATTTTACAAATTATGTCCTTACCTTGACATTTTAATTGTATCTGCAAAAATATGGCTCGGGTATGGGTGTTAACTTTGATTTGTAAATGTTGACAGATGACTAAGACAAATCATCAAACACAGAACTGGTATTCTTAATTCATATATCTTTTTTTCTTTCTTTCATCATTTTTTGTTAAGGATTCTGTTGCTGACTGATGCAATCGTGTCGGCTGGCACATCTAGCTGAAAGAATAGTCATCGATGCCCCTTTAAGATGAATAACTGAATATGTGTAATTATTTCCTCTGTCTCTTCAACATTTAACAGTTACAAAAAATAAGGCATCGTTTTTAAAACACTTTATAAAACATTTAACAGAATTGTGATTATGATAATTAGAACATATTCGAGGTTGTCTATGACATAGATAGCTTTGTTCTCACCCCATATGAAGTTTACTTACCCCATATATATCACATTATGTCACTAGCACACTGTGTAACGAATTTATCTTACCGACTATCTTAACATGTGGCATTTACACTAGTGGCTTATCGAAATAATCAATTCATCAATATAAAGAACCTACTTCTATTGGTCTATTCCAAAACAAATGCCAACATTAACAACTTGTTAGCTTTTAATGTGTTTTCTGCATTTATGTTCAATCTTTCATCATCAATTTCTTTATCTTTTGTCCGGGCGAAACGTTTTTAATTTTTCCTCAACGCCGTGTGGTTTGTAAAAAGGGACGTAACACCACACCTAGCCGTGTAGTAAAATAAACCACTACTACCTACCCCTTGTTAAATATACTGAAATTTTCTAGAAATGCATAGGAGGTAAGATAATCCAAAACATTCAACCAACTCATTGTAAATTTTAAAGGGGATGACCATAATGACTTAAACTTTACCCGTATGAATCCTCGGTGTAATAGCTCCCTGTAAGTTAAAACTTTTCCATTTGGGACTTATTATGAGAAACGCAAGCTCTGGAAGAGACATATATTCTACAGTTATGCTAATGAAATAATTATACATTAGTATTCCAAACCTTAATTAAACAGTTAAACTGTTGATACCACTTGTTTATGATACCATTAACACGGTGAATGTAAGCTTCTGTGGTATTGTATATGCCGAATAATTTTCTTTGCATAAATTGTAGACATATTCATAATAAAACAATGCGCAAGTAATCCGTGTCTTAATGGTGGAAGATGTCTGAACGTTGTATATGAATTTAAATGGTGTTGTCTACCTGAGTACAGTAGTAAAAGATGTCAGACGAGAAAGTGTGTTTATTCATTGTTTCAAGTATGTAGCAAAACAGCCCAAGTGTAGTGCTTTTATCTACGAACTGTTGTTTTCATAGAAAGAGGGAAATGCATGACATAATATATTTCATTGGTATGTTTGCAGTTTAAAATAAAACAAGAAAATTAACTGCAAATTGCAAACTTTAACCAAAAGCTTAAATTATGTAACGACAGATTAGTCCTGGTGCAAAATTCTGTCATAGTGAAATTTCTCTCACTATGATTAGAATTTTACTATACTTTATATCTCCTGTTTGTTTTGCCTAAATCAAAAAAGTAAAAAACCTGTTAAAGGTAAGATTGAGCAGACACATATATTGAAACGTGTCTAAAACATTAAAACATTACACATGCCGCCTTATGAGGCATATCCAAAGCCTTATATATAAATCAAACCTCAAAGTGCAATAAATCACGTATGGTCTCGTTTTTATATCCAGTTCAAAGTTACGTTCATAAGATAACTAGTAATCTTGTTTATTCCACCCTTCTGACCCTTTTTTTTTATACATTTAACTTTTTTCTAAAATCAAAATTTCAAAGATTTAAATCGAAAGACCATACTAAATTAATGAACAGTTTCAAATGAGTTTATTTTCTAACACAATAATTTATACCATTTATCATTAAGAACAAAGTCAACCAGAATATAAGTTTTTATTTGATCTATTGTTATTTGTAAAATATAACAATTTTATTTTAGAATAGACAGATAATCAAAGATTAGCAAATTTATTCAACCATACTTATATGATCACTGATATCGAACTAAAACGTGTGATAATGTAACTTGAATAGCATGGTATATTCCACTGGAAGAACACAATTGAAATAATTTAAGCGCGTAAATGATAAACATAAGATGGACTTGTGAAATGCTCTGCTTTACGCATTGTTTGAATGTTTCATGTGTTTTGTAGAAATATCATGTGCCAGTAACCCTTGCCTTACATGGTGGAACTTGTATTGATGGTATTAGTAGGTACACTTGCAACTGTGTTCTCGGGTATGCTGGTACCAAATGTGAAACAAGTACGAAATAAATTGTAATTTATAAGCATGATCTGATTTAGCCAAACTACTTTATTATTTCCTTTATTGAAGAGTTTTGTTGAAATTAAAAAAAAAACAGTGTTAAATTACACGTCGTGTAATGGTTAAATTTTTAAAAATAACGTGAATTTATACTTCTTAACGAAATGAACTGTTTAATGTAAACCAAATTGGATGACAAAACATAGGAACAACAAACATACCAGCAATAAAAAAAACAACATAACTGTGAATAATTGAAAACATTTATTTAAAAAACAACACCTCATCGATACCAGGATTAAAATGATGTACGTCAGGCGCGCGTTTCGTCTACAAAAAACAAATCAGTGATGCTCGATAAAAAACAGTTAAACAGTCAAATAAAGTACGAAGTTGATGAACAATGAGGACCCCAAATTCTGAAAGCTTTTGCCAAATACAGCTGAGGTATCCCGATGAACAGTTATGTATATCATTTTCATATCAGTAAGTTATGACTTTCTGAAAGAAACGAAATCACCTATAGTTACAAACCTAATCTACCACACAACAATAATCTCTCTAAGAATTAGGGCATTAAAAAGAAAAGCTGTACACATCATTTTGAAACATCTCTCTCTCTCTCTCTCTCTCTCTCTCTCTCTCTCTCTCTCTCTCTCTCTCTCTCTCTCTCTCTCTCAAAGCCTAACAAAACTATAATAATTTCACTAACAATATCAATGTAAGGTACAAACAGAAGGATACACATAAATGCGCAAGAAATAATATCCGAATATGTTAATAATATCATAAGGAGTTTAGTATGACGTCCATTATCACTGAACTAGTATACATATTTGTTTAGGGGCCAGCTGAAGGACGCCTCCGGGGGCGGGAGTTTCTCGCTGCATTGAAGACCCATATGTGGCCTTCGGCTGTTGTCTGCTCTATGGTCGGGTTGTTGTCTCTTTGACACATTCCCCATTTCCATTCTCAATTTTATTATCAATGTTGACAAACACGCAGAAAAAGAGAAACATAAGAGCAAATGTGTTATAGATGAAGATGAGCCAAAAATTAAAATATCTTATGGAACAAAAAAAAGTTTATAAATTGCGTCAGAGGCGCTTTTCTGGATTTACGCTCATTAAGACACTAATAAAAATGATAGACAATGGGTATTGGTACCTGAACATGGGAACATTGTCAAATATAAAAGCATATGACAGGCATGATAGTGTCCTTAAATTGGAATTTGTAAATGCCTTACTAACAGTTCTCAATTCAATTTACATTGTTACTATTACAGGTTTAGCAGCAGTAGGATGAAAAATCATTACCCAGTTACAGCATTGAGGAAAGAATACAATATTAAAAGGAATATTTTATAATTGTGTAATTTTTATTTAAGTGATATATATATTTCACAACACTTGATTTTTTTCCATATCCTTTGTTTTTGATCGCTCTTTCCTATGATTATTGATTGATTGATTGATTGTTAGTTGCTTAACGTGAATTGGCTAATATTTCATGCATGTTCAGGACGAGAACAAATTACCAATAAATACAATAGGTAGGTCCTGTAATAGAGGCTGTTCGGAATAAAGGTTGGGGTAAATTAAGACTGCCAATTGAAAAAGAAGGTATATTGGATAGGGACAGACATTTAGCCTTGCAACAGGCCACTTACGGACCCCTCAAAGAATTGTTACAAGATTTCCCTAACGTGCAGAGAGCATGGCACTCTCTCTACACGAGGCATCGGATTTAACGTTCCCATTCTGACCGGACGTGACTGCGTACTTGACACATCTTGCACAGCCAAAAAGACGCCCCACTTTGGCAAGGGTTTTACTGCCGGTCGGAAGTAGACCTGTAGTGATCATATTTCTATTCCTCAGTCACCCTTGGTGAGTACAATGATTGAAGAAATGGAACTGAAAATAGAGAACGTCACCGTCTTAAACGTCCGTTCGAATGGTAAACATGTCTTGTCAAAGAAGCAGAAAGTACAAAAGGTAATATATGGGGCATTGCTAATGACCGTATAATCTTCTTATACTATTTTTTCTTTTCTTTTTCATTTTATTTGCATCATGCATTTTTGATTAATAGAGATATTGAGTAAAAAGCAAAGCAATAGTAAACATTACATATAAGAGTGGACGTTTTGAAACTCTTAACAAGACAGAAGCACAAACTTTGATGTCTATTAAATTGTAAATAGTTATACTCATTTTATTTCGAAGTGACCAAAAGAAAACATGCGATAAGCGTCAATATTCCAACGATGAAACCGTTTAACTCGAATAAGAAGGAATCAATAGGACAAGAAAGGGAATAAAAAAAGAAAAACACATGCAATTAAGTATTCTGTTTCACATCAGACTACATTTTATCACAACTTATGAGTTTGAATATCCCTTTGTCATCTTTCGACCCCCTTCAAGGTGGTACCAAACACCTTGAATAAAATTATTTTGGCTCGTTTAATTTTCATAAAATTTTGACAAAATATTTACTTTGAACCTTTGACAAAAACATAAAAATAAAAAAAAAAAATTGAACACACTTTATCGGAAAAATTTCATTTGATATATAGCAGTTTGACAAGCACTAATTTTGATCATTGAGAAGCTTAGTATTTCCTTAACAATAGAACTTGATTAAAACGTTTAGCTGATTTTTACAGAGTTATCTGCCTGTAGTGTTATGTACCACCTTAAGACTAACCATTCCTTTATATTCTGCAAATCAAGTTGTTTATATAAACATTGATAAAAGACAATAATAACATAACTGGAAATATCAGCAGTTCTCAAACTATTAGTTACACCCGCCATATTCCCTCTATTTAAATATATTAATAAGTCATTTTATGTTAGCAAGGTTCTATTCACCAATATCTGTTCTAACCATGAGACACAAACTTAAAAAAAACAACCAACATATTTAAGGTCTGTCAATCATTTCCTACAACACAGATCATAGAAAAAACAAGTAGCATTAAATACACTAATAAGTAAAACCAAACAAGACACTTACACTTTTAAAACACACCAATGGATGTTCCGGAAAACGTTTAAAACACACCAATGGATGTTCCGGAAAAATCACCTGTTCCTGATACACTATTTGCACCCGACGTGTTCTTTAGGGAATTAAATTTTGGTGAAACGAATGTAGGTCTCTTTCGATGATGTTGCAACCTAGATAAACAAGAATGGATTGCACCTTCGAAAATCAGATTATATATGTGAACATCCATAACAATAATATTTCATAACAGATAAACAAATCCAATTGGCATATGAGCGACTTTCGACGGCATGTATATAACTTTACTATTATTGACCTTCATTTTAAGCAGCAGTCTTTTAATAGCCCATATGCAAACTATTGATAAATTTAACAGACATAATCTAAGATCTGTCATTAGCAGTACATTCTGCAAATGACGGTAACATTGTGATATGACATATGACAACAATCAACGACATTTGATTATGAATATAAAATTGAGAATGGACACGGGGAATGCGTCAAACAGACAACAACCCGAACCAAAGAGCAGAAAAACAGCCTAAGGCCACCAATGGGTCTTCAACACAGCGAAAAAAAAACCCGCACCCGGAGGAAGGTTTCAGCTGGCCCCTAAACAATTATGTATACTAGTTCAGCGAAAATAGATTAATTGATTGTTGGTTGCTTAACGTTCAGTGGCAAATATTTCATGCATATTCAGGACGAGAACAAATAAATACAATAGGTAGGTTCTGTAATGGGGGCGTCTGGGATTAAGGTCTGAGAAATTTAGACTACCACGGGAAATGAGGGTATATTGGATAGGAACAGAAATTTAGCCTTGCAGCAGGTCACCTACGGACCCATCAAATAGTTGTTGCAAGGGTTCTTAACGTGCAAAGAGCGTGGGACTCTCTTTACACGAGGCATCGGATTTAACGTCCCCATTCTGACCGGATGTGGCTGCAAATTTGTACATCCCGCACAGCCAAACGGACGCCCCACTTTAGCACGGGTTTTACTGCCGGTCGGAGGAAGACCAATGGTGACCATACTTCTATTCCCCAGTCACCCTTGGGGGTACGAAATTGGACGTAACACTATAATCCGAAACATAAATGAATCAAAATCAATAAGAACAGAAAGGGAATTAAAGAAAAGAAAGAAAAACACATGCAATTAAGTATTCTGTTTCACATCAGACTACATTTCATCACAACTTATGAGATTGAATATTCCTTTGTCACCTTTATATTCTCCAAATCAAGTTGTTTACATAAAAGAACAATAATAACATGACTGGAAATATCAGCAGTTCCTAACCTATTAGTTACTACACACGCCATATTCCCTATATTTAAATATATTAATAAGTCATTTTATGTAAGCAAGGTTCTATTCACCAATATCTTTTCTAACCATGAAACACAAACTTAAAAAAACAACCAAATTATTTAAGTTCTGTCAATCATTTCCTACAACACAGATCATAGAAAAAACATGTAGCATTAAATACACTAATAAGTAAAACCAAACAAGACACTTACACTTTTAAAACACACCAATAGATGTTCCTGAAAAAAACACCTGTTCCTGATACACCATTTGCATCCGACGTGTTCTTTATGGAATTAAACTTTGGTGAAACGAATGTAGGTCTCTTTCGATGATGTTGCAACCTAGATAAACAAGAATTGATTGCACCTTCGAAAATCAGATTATATATGTGAACATCCATGACAATAATATTTCATAAAAGATAAACAAATCCAATTGGCATATGAGCGACTTTCTACGGAATGTATATAACTTTACTATCAATGACCTTCATCTTAAGCAGCAGTCTTTTAATAGCCCATCTACCAACTATTGATAATTTTAACAGAAATAATCGAAGATCTGTCATTAGCAGTACATTCTGCAAATGACGGAAACATTGTGATATGACATATGACAACAATCAACGACATTTGTTTATGAATATAAAATTGAGAATGGACACGGGGAATGCGTCAAACAGACAACAACCCGAACCAAAGAGCAGAAAACAGCCTAAGGCCACCAATGGGTTTTCAACACAGCAAAAAACCCGCACCCGGAATAGGGCTTCAGCTGGCCTCTAAACAATTATGTATACTAGTTCAGCGAAAATGGACGTAACACTAAACTCCGAAACATATAAATGAATCAAAATAAAAAAAAAAACATACAAGAATAACACAGGTCAGAGGTTCCCGACTTGGGACAGGCGCAAAAATGCTGCGGGGTTAAACATGTTTTGTGACATTTCAATCCTCCCCTATATCTCTAGCCAATGTAGAATAAACAAACACACAGCAATACGCACAGTAAAACTCAGTTTAAAATAAGTCCGAGTCCTATGTTGAAATAAAAAACAGAAGAAACTAAGAAGATGACAATGATAACATAAAATAACATATGACTATTAGCAGTTACTTACGTGCCAGCTTCAAGCCTCAATTAAACTGATTGAAAGATTATGTCTTCATCATATGAAAATGAGGCACAATCCCTCCATAAGGGGTTAAGTATCATACCATCATAAAATATACGAGAAGAACATAACCTGTATCATGCCAACAACTGGTTTTAGAATAAATGTGTTTATTTTCGATGCAAAGACCATATAAGTGAATCAATATTAATTCCAAAAAATGTTTTCTTTATTGAGCTGACAACAGTATCGTAACTGTATCTCTGAATAAGTATGTTAAAAGGTTTGGTTAGCTTTTGAGGTGAATGACGACATTTTTATGCTTTGTATAGAGTATTACCATAAAAGATTGGATGTGGAATACCTGAACGTATAAGATGCCTGCACGTTGATTTGAATTTACAAATCATGTCATTGTACCGATGATAAAATTTAGTAAATGCTTTGACAAGTTTGTGATATTGGAAACCCCGGTGTAATAATGTTTTAGTGATACAGCAATTTTTTTCGTTAAAATCAAATACGTTGGTACATACACGAACGAATCAAGTTGAGATACAAATACCATAAGATGGTGACAAGGGAACGTCACCACCCAAAAATGAATAATTAACAAGAGGAAATGAAAAATCTTCTTTCGGTTTTATCCTTCCCGTGAAAGATAAAGATATCAAGAATCAGGAAAGGGCAGTGTTAAGTATTAGCTTCATTTACAGTTAGTTCAGCAGGATAAATCTCTTGAGTGTACATACTGAAGTCGTCATTATTGAGAGGCAATATATCATCCAAATATCTAAAAGCGTTATTACATTTTTGCATCAGATGTTGTTTCGAATGGTCTTTGCTGATTTTAGTCATTACTTGTAATTCGTAACAATACAGACACAGATACAATAAGTGGTGCACAGT